TTAGTAATTTTGTTTTAAAAATCATTGATATTTAGTCGGACTAAAGCTGGTCATGTAAAAAACTAGAAGAATCAACGAATTTATCAATCTTTCAATTTCACGAATGTTTGTCAGCCATTGCGAGCGATGGCCTGCAGAAATTCTAATCGAATTCGACTTACTATCGACTACTGTTCCCATTTTCAATTATTTACTACAAATCTTTTCGCCAGACTCTACACTGACTGTACTACCTGAATAATAAAGAAACAATATAAATTTTTGCGAATGACCTCGCAATCGTCCAAATGCAAACCCAGGGTCAAGTTGCTCGGCCAAAAATGAACGACCATGTCACTTTTAGCCGAGCAACTGAACATCGATTTCAAACTTCATCGATATTGTATTTACACGGACGATTCGTTTAATCAAACGTTATCCGACGCAGGCGACTGTAACAAGCGGCGTAATTTCACGTGTACGGGTGGCGAAACGACGGAAACGAGGAGAAAAAGGGGCAAGAGGGAACGAGATAAAGAGGCAGAAGAAACTGATAGGGGGGGGAAAGAATGGGAGAAAGGAGAGAAAGAAGAAGAAGGAGGAGGAGAGGAGACGCGTGTGCCGCGTACGAAGACACGCGCGAATGGCCGTGGTGAAACGGGCGCGGGTAGGTGGCTTTAACACGCGAGCGAGGTTTACAATTTTCTGCACGACGCTCGTTCGAATGCCTGTAACGTTGCGGATGCCAATTGCCGATAATTCAAGGTGTACCTACCCACGATATAACGCGCGGCCGCAGACGCTGACAGATTGCTGGGTACCGGGACAAGCCCTCTCCGATCAGCGCCGGCCCTCTTTTAGGCGCGCCACGTTTTGGCGCGTTCCGGATACCGGAGGCCTTAAAGCGTTGCGACTCGAACTGAACCTTCGACTGGCCATTTCAACGTTCATTCTTCGAGGGGAAGGAGACGATTTACGAACTTGACGAGACACGTGTGTTTTAGAAGTGACAGCTATCGAAAGTAAATCGTAAATGTAGTCTTACTACGTTAGGAATTTTTTTTTATATGAGGAGTTTAGAGTCGCATCGACTACGAGGTATTTAGCGACGTGCTGGAACTTTCTCTTTATATCTGGTCCAGTAGTTGGGTCTCCTTTAGGTAGTTGATAACGTTTTTTTTTTTTTTGTTGTTGTTTCTGGCAGGTTAGGGCGGTGTTTTGGTTTCATCCGTACTTTACTTCTTAGGTTTCGGTATTTTCGGCATTCATTCTTAGCAGGTGTTGGATGGTGATTTGTTGGTTGCAGGTGTTGCAGAAAGGTGGTTCTGTTTTGCTTAGGAGGTGTTCGTGTGTGATCTTGGTGTGTCCGATTCGAAGTCTAGTCATAGCTATACTTTCTTTTCTGGTTATATTGTTGTTTGGTATTTTTTGGTAGAAATGGTGTGCTATGTATTTTAGTTCTATCTGTCGTAGTTCAAATTCTGTTCCATACGTTAGGAATTAATTCGTTATTTTTCATGGAAATTTAGAAGATTCCTTTTTGCAACCTTCTTGATTCTTGATAGAGGGAACGTGAAACTTTATTTAGGTTGAATTGTCTGAATTCGAGTAAGATTCAAGTTTGCGTTTGTACTTTTGTTTGTAATTATCAACGCTGGAACTATCAATTTGTTGTTTTTCATAGAAATTTTACAGATTCACAAGGTTTCTGAAGGTTTGTGAAGAATAGAGCTGTTTGTACAATCAATTGGTAGAATGATGTAACGACGTCCAGAAAACAAACATTATATTATTGTAAAATATATATAAATAAAAACCTGCAAACTTTCAGTTAAATCCAAACCATTGATAAACTTTTCCTATTTCTTGCATATTAATTTCTTAGATACAACTTCTCTACTTCTAAAAACTACTATTAAGGCACAACTCTTCTAAAACAATTTGTCTTTTAGATAAATAAACACACGCAATGCTTATTTATATAAATACTACAGCAATTAATCAAAAATTCGAATCTTTTATTGCACGTTAGTTGCACAATAGTGTTTTAATGTTGAAACGCGAAGAGGTGATTCCTCAGGAATGAATCAAGACCCATCTCTTTCCTCAATAAACGTACTGACATAATGCTCGTCTGACACAAAAAGAAGATCGTAACGATCAAATAAAAGTTTGCACCTTTTTTTTTTATATAATCATCCACGTATATATTTCATTAATCCTTTGATTCTAGATTTCATTTAAAAATCAATTGATTATGCTACCTTTGTACAATCAGTTATACTGCAGTCATTTAATTTATTCACTGGGCAGATTGACTTAAACTTATTTTCAATAAGACATGTTTTTGATAAACAGGTGAATATATTTATTTTGCTTAATTCCTTATATATTAATTAAATATAATTTACGTAATAATTAATTAAATTTTATTACTAATTTAATCATTATATCTTATTTTAAAAAGTTCTAAATTTTTTTTTCTTAATTATTATATATGTATAGTTTATATTAAAATATTCGCTTCACTTTATGGATTCTCGTATAGCGTGGATAAATTATTCATTGCACGTTTGTGATCGAGGTTTCAAACAAGTTGCTCGGCGAAAAGCATCGGGGCGCTTTGTTCGTTTGTTTTCGCCTTCGGAGGAGCTTTAATCGAAAAAAAGAAAAAAAAAAAAAAAATACAGCGACGACGATGGAAAGCACAACCTCTTGACTTCCAATCGCGCATATATAGCTTTTAATATTAATGCACTACGGTAACGTTGGCACCTACGTAAGGAAGCGAGCGCGTGACAAGTCGCGACGGTGAATTTACGACGTATTAAATTGCGCTATTTGATATCTTTGTAATTTTCTCCGATGGGCATAAAACTGCGGGGAGGGGAGGGGGAGGGGGACCCTAACTCACATTTGTACATGTATTATACCCCGCGAGTTTAATTAAATCAGCCACCGGAATATGTAGAAATAAAGACACATAATATATAACGTAATATATTTAAAAGAAGATCATATCACGTTTAATAGTAAAATTACCAGCCTTTCGTATGCCTGTCTTGATTTAATTTCGAGTCTTAAATATTTTACAGATGCCAACTCATTTATTTATGCTAAATACTATTCTTATAGTAAAATAATATTCTTATAATAAAAACTAAAATACAGTAATATTGACTTGTTAAAAAAATTATAACATAATATGAATTATAATTCATTTTATTTATAATATGAATTATATTATAAATATATTAATATATAAATATATATAAATATAAAAATATATATTATTAATATATAAATATTATATATAAATTATTAATATATGAATATATATAAATATATTATAAATATATAATTATATTATAAAATATGAATTATAATAAAAACTGAAATATAGTGATATGAAAATATAGAAATGTAAATAATATATCTCATAATAAAAAATAAGATGCTAAATTTTATTCTTATAATTTTACTTGTAAAAAGAAAAGAAGAAATCTGCGAACCATCATTTAATGATTCATTTCTTTGTCTTGCATTCCTTCGTCTGATCGATCATTGATACTGCACGTTTCTTCGTTTTTTTTTTAAACGATAATGCTTGCACACGGAAATAAACGGAAGTTTCGTCACGAAGAAAATTCGCGTGCGTTTTCTCTGCTCGTTCGTATCTCTATTCACGTTGATCACGTGACGAGTAATTAAATTAATAACAACACCGGCACGATGAAGAGAGTTTTCCGACTTTCTTATTCCCAGAGCTGTCGTATGACCTCTTTCCAAGTGAAAAAAGATTTTCCTACAGCCTCGTTGACGCTCCGATCGCTTTGTTTGCAACGCGTTTCTTTGTTTTGTTTAAAATATTCACCAATGCACTTTATTAAGCTTCGTTCGATCGTCGAGTGAAGTAACGAAACCGTCAGCGCCTCTCTGTTCAATTTTATTCCTTCGTTTGTATATTTATTTATTTTTTAATAAATAAAGCTACGATTTTTTTTAATTTTTCTTCCGCAAACTCGAAAATAATCAACGGACCGCGGTTTTTTTTCATAAACTTTCAGATTCTTGTAAACATATCTCCGGAGGGATTTAGGCGACTTTATATTTTTTATATTTACACGAGCGTCTGTACATTTTATTTGCTAACTGTTGTAACAAGTATCGTACGTTTTCAACATTTTTACACACATTGAATTCGTTTTGTAGATCTTCGGAATCTTAAAATTTCCAAGAATTCACAAAAGTTTGATCACAGTAAATACTTTAAATATTTTATACGTTTTTCACTTTCCAATTTCTAGTTCTGCAAGCGCATAAAAATACGCAGCCCGGTAATTAATTATGTCTCTATTACGGTATGTAGGAAGTATTGGAACGTTCGGTACAAAGGCAACGCCTTTCTAAATTCTTTCTGTGTACAACTCTCCGAGTGTTCTCAAACGAATTAGTACTAATTTAATGATTCATTGAATTAAATTTTCAATACATTCTCAAATGTCTGTAGCGTCTGGTTTTTACGATCAAGAGTAGATGCGATTTTTTTTTTTTTTTTTTAACTAAAGACGAGAATTTTAGAAAAAAATTGTTGAATTACTGAATTGTCGATTTTTTTCAAACTGTCGTCAATTCAACGTGTGTTGTAAGAATCACAGTGGATCGTAATTCAGAAAATTAATTTGATACTTGTATGATTTTTAGCCGAGAGAAACCATAATAGAAGAAGTACACGAACAAATCAAATAATTAATAAAATTAAGGAATTTTGCAGATAAGATTCCGCAGAATTCCCTAGCTCCGAGTTTAAATTAAACGAACTGTTGCAACTAAGAAGCTTCTTACAATTTTCTCAGTATTAAAATTTCATCGAATGAAATGATCCCCGCTTCGTTATTTTTATTTGCAACTTTTCATCCATTCGCAAAACTTTCTTCGCCCGTGTCATTGGCCTCGTCTTATCATCGAAGATCGATAAAAGGTTGAAAAAAAAATTTGTGGAACATCGGAGGTGAACTCACCGAGCATCTTGCTGAGATCGGCGTTGTGGAGATCAGGATTCTCGTCGGCCAATTTCTTGCGCTCGACCTTTGCCCAGACCATGAACGCGTTCATCGGGCGACGTATCCGTTGCTCCTTCAGGCTCCTTTGAGCGGTACTGCCTGGATGGCACATCTTCACTCCCGCGGGAATCGGCGAGATGCCTTGTTGATACTCCAACGACGGACCGGAAGCCAGCCAGGACATGTCCTCCAGCCGCTGTTGCGCCGGGCCGCTCAACATTCCCGGTATCTGAAAGTCGATTCCCGATTTTCAATACAAGCGTTTATACCTTGTTATACGCCTTCAACGTTTCACCTTCGACTCGCGACTTTCTTCGCTTTTCGAATTTTTTGTGTCTATCGTGTGTAGTGAATTTCGACAGTGAAATTTAATTCACTATAATTGGACCGCGGATTGCAGATGTTTTGACAGATGTAAATTTTCATGAGTGTAACAGCCTAGTCAGATTGAAAATCCTTTACGAATTCATTGGAATCAGACTTACTCGAAATATGAATTAAATTATTTAATAATTGTATGCGAGATAATTAATAAACTAGGAAATTCCAAATTTTGAAAGCTTCAAACTCTCGTTTTTCATCCGTCGCTTTCTCATTTTTCTACAGAAAATCTTTATAGTACAACAGGGTACACAAGCCTTTTACTTATGTATTTTATGAAGGATCATTCAAGTCTCCAAAAGTATACTGTTTTATCATCTATAAAATACTTAACAAAAATATTCAAATGGTCATTTTGACCATTTTCGTAGTTTTCTAGTGTCAATCGTTCCACGTTTTCGAGTTTCAAATTCTCTTCCTTTGTTTTTCTTTCTTTGGGATTCATCGTTTCTCGAATCGGATGAAAATGATCCATCGATCGGCTCTTATTAATTACGCGCTTATTAACGAAAACGGGTGAAAGTCGCGCTCGATATTTCCCCCGATTCCATTAATACGTAATTACCACGAGATATTAATCGAAAACTGCTAATGAACGCCGTTCGAACGCGAATGTATTATAGTTACATACACGGTATTGTTGCCAGGCAAAAGCAGCCATTCTAAGGTTGCCAGACTCTCGTTAGAATCGGTATTGTAATATAATGAAAATGAATAATGCGCGCAGCTAGGCTCGAAAGAAACGGTGGAAATAATTTATCGTGCGATAATGACTCGTTGATAACTTAACGAACGTGGAATATGTAGATGATAAATATTGAACCTCATCGTGAGATCGTGCCAGACGTTTGTGTTACTATTGCTAAGTCGCGAATCGAAGAAAGGCTTTCACGAGAAGATAAGGGAAATGTAGTGCAAGTAAGAAATCGATGTGAATTTTAAGCTATTTAAGCTTGATGCCGATGGAAACTTTTTGCAAATTTCTCAACATATTGAGTGGAAACCTTGAATAAGAATCTGCGTTACATCATCGAAGATAATACAGTTTAAAGTTATATTTGGCGCGTTAATCTTGACGCAATTACCAGAACAGCTAAAAAGTGATATGTCTATTTTATTTTAATATTCATTGCAACGGAACAAAATAATTAAGAACAACAGACATAGATCTCTCTCTTCTATAAGTTTCGAACACACAAACTGCTCCTTCTCTTCTGTTTTACATCAACCTTTGGCGAAATATTCTTTAAAAAGATCTTCAAAAACTGTACAATCATGCAATAATATTAACTAAATTTTTTCAAAAAATATAGATAGAATCGTGCAATAATATTAACTAAATTTTTTCAAAAAATATGGGTAGAATCATGCAATAATATAAACTAAATTTTATGAAAAAATATAGGTGGAATTATGCAATAATACTAAGTAAATTTTTTCAAAAAATAAGTATACTGATGAAACACAATAGCGAAGGAATAACAGTGCGAAATAAAATTTTCAAAATATAACTTTCAAGTTACACGATGTTATAGATAATAGAGAATTAAATTAATGTTACTTTAAATCTATTGTCTACATTTTCCTTTGTTACTCCACCTTTATTGACTTTTTTTTTTTAAACTGATTGATACGAATTCCGTGTAAATCATTTGAACGAAACAGAGCATGTATTTCGTTTGAATCAATCGAACAAAATCATCTTTCACAACTTTAAAAAAGGCAAAACAATTCCTATGACTATGACTATGTACGAAACCATTCTCCTTCTGCGTTATTTCTCTTTGACTCGCGAGTAAAGCCAGTTTCACGCCAACGATGAACGCCAAATACTAAACATTTGCTTAATTTTGATTAAAACAAATATTATATTCGCTTGAACATTGGGAAAATATTAAACGACTTATACGACAAAGAATCTACAGTGTTAATGTATTGACAATTGCACTGTAAAATGCACGTTGCGATTTAAAGATTTTATTAACTCCGAAAACCATTGAAATCCAAAAAAAAAAATAAAAACTTTCGCTATTAAATAATAATCAAGTTAATATAAAATAATAATTCCTTGTTAACATTATCTAACAAAGCAATCAGCTGTGGCGTGAAGCTGGCTTAACGCGAGGAACGCTATAAAATAGCGTGAACGTAGGTGTGCGGGTGTCACGTTCGAGGTGAAACAGCGTTCCTTAAATGAGAAATATGCGAGACTATTTACAAACGGAACGGTCTCTCCTGCCTGTGCTGGATCGACCAGACCTGAAACGTACCGAAATGATTTGGGTATCGATGGGCATGGAACTGTCGTTGCCGTCAATGTTCGACTCGATGTCGTAGGCCCTCGACGTAGGTGTCGCATAAAGCGAGGAATGAAGTGCCAAGAGTCCAGGGGAGCCGCCATAACTGCTCACCGGCGGTGGTGTCACCTCACCCCTGTCATAATTATCCAGCATCCTATAAATTCAAACGCGAATTTATTAATCATTCGTACCGTTGTGTAACGCAACACTTTTCGTCGACAATGAAATTTGCTCCTCCGCCTATGCGGAGGGCGTAAAAGTCGATCAATTTTTTATTAAATTCTCTTCTTGCATTATACGAACATATTTTTCTTTTTGTCAAAACCTCCAAAATAATTTAATTGCAATATTGTAATAATCTTCTCATAACCAAACTCGATGATAACGAAAGGATATTTGCATGGTAAAAGTTACTTGCGCTGGCAACTGATTGCGGACCATAACGAGTGACCGAACCGTACATACAACAATTTGTCGCTTTCTTTTCGAACTCGTCGGTATGACATCACTGGATAGAAATTATCGAGAAGTAATGAATTTATTATTTTGTTTTATTTAAATATACTTAAAAAACTAAGAAAGTACTACAATTTTGGAACAAAAAGTTCTCGACGTGCGTGGAGAGGTTAATAAGATTATATTGATTGATTTCCGAGTTTCTTCGTGTAAAAGAAAGAATCCTTCAAAGCACAGACTTATATTATATTTCTTAAATAAATATTTCTAAAATATTAATTGAAATATTATTTCTAAAATAATATTTCTAATATTTCTTAAATCTGA